GTGGCTGTCGAGCTCTATTTCATCTTCACGGGAGATTTATTGTGAATGTGAAGAGCGTTCCTTCACAGAACTTTTGCTTCAATTCATCGGTAGATTCCAAGGTTCAAAGCCAAGGTATTCACTTGGAAACCAGAAAATTTGCGAGACATGTGGATTCCTTTTCTCATTAGAGGATCACAAGGTGTGTGATTCCGAGATCAAAGTTAGCTCAATACTTTCGAAATGTTTCAAAGAGGTGGAGGATTATGACTTTAGACTAAGTTATTCATTCCACGATAACTTTCCAGATACCTACGAACGTATTAGGACTTGTAAAGACTGGGTCGTCTTTTGTCATTTGATGTTAACACCTATGAACTTGAAGTCAGACACAGTAGGTGGTTCTACTGAAAGGACTTATCCTTTGTATGTGTTTGTAATCGGGAGCTTATACCAGAGATAACGCTTGATAAATTACAAGTGCAATCGGGTAATGTTCCAAACCATTGATTTAGTATTGTCAGAAGACATAGTGTGCAATATATATTTACGTTACATTTTACAGACGTATAAACTTCAATAATCTAATAGACCAATGGCTCTTTGTTGTAACCCTCAGATATACCACAGTGGTTTATGGATCGTCAGTTTGGATAACATCTGATGCGGTCGTCCTCTCATACACTCCATGAGTTCTACTTGACTAGCAATACTTTGTCTCTTGGAATCTCATGAAATAATTCACCGACAGATACACATGCCATTAAATGTGTCACTAGCCATAACACCACCCCCATGGGCTATCAGCAGGGAATTAGATCACCCAATGTGTGTACACCTCAACAGTTATTGGGACTCAATTTCTCCAATGGTGTTATAATTGTGTCTACTTTGCTCATACCAACACTTTATTCCTTTTCACCTTTGGACGGTGACTCAGCATCTGAGCTTGGGCGACTGATACAGGATAATCACCATGGTATGATTCAGAGATGTGTAATGAACATAGCTGCTATGGTGTAGAGTCAAAGAACTTGTTGTGAAGCTGGGACACAGCTACCGCTTTTAACTTTCATCTTCTGAACTTTGACATGAACAAAGCTGCTGATGACTGCTCTCTCTCGGTTTCCCAGACGCTCTACTTGGAGCCCCACAGTATGCTGCACTCTTTCTTCATCGTGAAGTGTCTGTCTTCCACGATAGATCGAGGTGTTGGTTGTGTTTGTACGAGTATGAATCGACTATTGTTGTTACTCATTGGGTCTTCTGTAGCTCGGATCATCGAGCCATGGCCACTTTGTGTTACTCCAACAAGCTACACACATGCATGGAGCTGACTCTATATGATAGAGATCCTTACTGAGTGTACTTGAAGTCGATTGGATTTGGATGTAAGCTGTTGTTGTCATTGGTTGTTGGTGATGTAGTTGTCGTCGGTGGGTTGCTATTATTTCACATTAGCTGACGTAAAACATCCGTACACCACTGAAGTTTTTTGTGGTGGAGAAAAAAAAAACATCAACAAAGCAAAGGGGAAACCCCTTTACACCACCACACTTATTCCAGTGACAGTTTAAGCTTGAAAACGCTGTAAGATGGTAGCTTCAGGATGAGCGTTTGCTTCTTATCGCATGAAGCTGCCGTCAATGACTTGAAAAGCTTTGAGTGGCTGTGAAAGTCACACGAACAGTGTTAGAGATGACAATATGACAGTCTCAAGGGTTTCACTTAAGATACAACACTTTGTCTTGCACTGAGAGGTCTGGAGATTGAGAACCGTATCAACAGATCACATGGGGTACTCTAACTGCTTATCACTTGAAGCGCTGATCGATATGCCTCTTCAGTGGCTCGGTTCAATAACG